TATATATATATATATATATAAATATATTGAATTTCTATATAAGTATTGATAAATGCTTTGTCCGACCTATGCACGATTTTCGTTGCTGTCGTCCATCAGTCCGAATCTTCGAGGGGCTTCAAGTCGCTGAGATCCGGCGGCGAACAGAGGAAACCTCTGGCTGACGCGTATTCGATCAACGCCAAGTGGCAGAAAACGTATTGCTCAGGCGTTTGGATGGAATAGGCCCGCTGCGACCGGATCTTTTCCACCACACCTTTAATGTCCACGGTGCTGGTTTCCTCCAGGCGGTTGATGCAAACGTCCAGTGTGCAGAACGTTCCTGCGGGACAAACGGGAWAGTTGAAAAATCGCGGCGTACAACAAAGATAGGTATARGTATAGGTGTTGTATTTATAGGCAAGGAAGTTGCAGGTATATTATGCGAACGTGTATACAAAGAAAGTCGACGACAATCTTACTCCCAATCAGTTTTTTGCTCACCTGTTCGTCCGATGCCCGCCGAACAGTGGACGATTATCGGAGGCCCCCGTTGGTGTCCGGCCCATTTGTCACCGAGGTCTTGTAACATGGACGATTGACATTTCCGGACCTTGCCGAGGAAATCCAACATGGCGACAGCGCTGTGTGGCACGCCGAAATCCGGCCACGAGTTGAAACGGAAATGAGACACTTGTCTGACCTCGTTGGTCTGAGAAAAATRAAATAAAATAAAAAATGAACGGATTTGGCTAAATAATATATTATATTTTGCGGTCGAAAAAATACCTTCGATGTTGTAATATCACATTTTTGTAAAATCCATTTTACGATTTACAATGATGTAACAATAAATAACCAATAATACATACACAACAGCAATTTTACATTCTATAATATACAATACCTACGTGGTGTTATTACAAAAAAAAAAAAGTATTAACGAATATTTGTTTTTAATTATGTCAGTAAATATAATATATATTATAACTTTATGGACAAACAATCTATTTGATTTCCTAAAGGAACTGTAAATTCAGCTAAATCTAATAGCATTAAAAATAATCATGGTAAAAACTCAGTAATACGAAACCTCTGTTAAACGGAAATCCCAATAATACAAGGTGGGGCAGCGAAAAGGGAAATTACTCTGTATTACAGTTACGTACGAAAATCGCCCTTTTCGCTACCGCACCCTGAACGTACAATTTTTTTGGTGGCAAATCAAATATAAAGTGAATATCGACCACCTCAAGACGGTTCCACWAGAGATTCCGTCTTGACGAAATTTTACATTAATATTGTTGATCTAAACCATTTTGCTTAATATTGTATTTCCTATATTTCATCAAAATAACTCTATGACAATATTCATGTGGTATAGTTTTTTAAAACATCTCTGTGATTTTGCTTTTAAATTACAATAATACAATTAAACTCTTCTGAATTTACTGAAGGTGCACATAAATGTCAAGAACTCGTGACTGAACATAAACATATCATGAACCAATATAGCATAATTTATATTTTCAATCATGAATTTGATCTATAAATATATTTTACAATTGATTTATTGCTTTAACGTTAAAATAATAAATAAGAAAAGTTAATTATCTGACAATCATGGATAACAGAGAGATAACGAAGTTATTTTTAAAAAATTTAAGACTCGTAAGAACCATTTTTTAAGCCTTACCCGAGATATTTGTTTAAATCCAATATTTCATAGTCAAATAGTAACTATAATTATTTAATTTATTTAATTTGATTATTTATAAATAAATATCGATAAATATTATTACGATAATATGCTCGAACATTTGATATGATTGCTATATATTATGTATAGTGCTATATATTGCTCACGAAATAAAATCTACACCTTAAATTTAACAATAACTTGAACTTCAAAATATTATAAACGGTCTCCCAGAGCATTACCAGRAAGGAAACTAAAACCTAACCTAACATCGTATACTCACGTTGGTGTTAGTTAATTCCAATCGGGTGACAGCGTAGTTGTCAAACTGACTGAGGGACGTAGTAGACACCTTGAAGTTTTGGTACGTATGATCATCGGACGTCTCGTCAGGTGGCCAGTACTGTTCGCACTTAATCTTGCCACACTCAAATACCTTGGTGGTCATGACGATGACTAGCACTTGCTGTTCCCAAACCATCCGCCAGAAGTCAGCGCACGTGTGCGGCAGCGGGCCCTGCGTGGATATGAACGCGTTCTTCTGTTTRTAACCATCGACGAAATTGGCGTGTATGTAGTCGGACATYGGTTCTTTGTCCGACTCCGCCAACATCACCCTGGTGTGATCGTAGCAAAGCACATCCGTATATCGATTCTTCAGAAGGTTGGGTCGGGCCCTGCAGCAGAGTACGACAACAAGACAGAGGGTCAGATGGCGGTATGATGGTACATATATATATATATATATATATATACATCCACATATGCAGGGCGTATCCGGAGGGTGAAGACCGCCAAATAGACGGTGCTCCGGACAACGCCCTGTGTAAAACATATAGCAATTTAATCGTAACGCGGATACTTAGGGTACCACGAAAAATATATAACACAAAAATACTAAACAATATTGATCATACTTGGCAACAGAGAATGTACCGTCGAAAGAACGGGTCTTTATCTCTTCGTATTCCCTAATGAGACCGGCCCTCTTCTTTTTCAATACATATTCAACAAATTGACTAATAGTTAAACTTTGACTAGAATCGCAACGCAAACTGTCGTCGTCCGAAAACCCGCTACTGACCGACGACGGAGGCATCGGAGAAATCTCTTCTGTAGGCATGCAAAATGAAAAAAATTAATAGACATTTAACGAATCGGTAACATAACCCGCAAAAGAGTATGGGTTATAAAGAGTATAGGGTTTGCTTATGAAAATAATAGAGTATTATAGGGTTTGCTTATGAAAATAATAGAATATGGTGCTTTCGATATTGCTGAACCTACCTCTCGAATTTGTCGTGTTGCATGTCCAACCTGACAACAAATTGTCATGGACGACGGCGCTTTCTTCGWTGACGACGTTGTTCTCTTTCAACAGATTATTCGCCTGAAAAATATATGACGAATTAAAAAAAGTGATAAACGMCATGCAAACAATCGTCGGCAAATAGGTAGGGTAATCAATCCATGTATACTTAAGTCTTAAAGGAAACATACTTTGGTCTCTGACCCGGTGTCCTTTTTCACGCTGTTTGAATTGCATATGTGGTCGGACATAGCCGARCTTCCATATTTATCACTGTTCGTCATGTAGTTCAGGCAGTAGGACAACCATTTATCGTGTTCGACGTCCACCGTGCCGCCCAAATGCCTTGGCAGCGATTCCCTGGGTATGTGCTGGGTCAACTGTGACAGACCATAAACGAATCGACAAGGAATAAATATGAATGCCAACTATAAGAGGTTGATATACTGATATAATTGAGTCACGCGTACCTGAGGCAAGCTAATAGTGAACACACGATCCCTCAATTTTTCTCGCACAAAAAGCCTGAGTATTTTAAACGGGGCTTTGAACCACAGTGGCGCTGTGACAATCAGAACTTTCTTCAATTTGGCCGGATAACCACCCTGCAAATCAGACAAGTGAATTAAAACACAAAAATAACCTTAGACAATATATGAAATTATATTATGAATTCATGATGGTAAACAGCAGCATCTGAACATATGATATATTGGAATACATTTTATACATAGGTACGTCACATTTACTTAAATTAAACGTCGGAAAGTCGTGTAGATCGTTATTATCATCATATAATAGCATTCCTAAAGTTATCACTGCGCTAATACGACAATGGTGACTTTAAAATATATGTCATTAAATAATAATTAGGCTTCTATAATATTTATTATACACCGAGAACACATCGACTGCTAAATAAAATATCATCAAGTAATAATAAATCTCCACTCGATGACCGTACATATTATAATCGGCTCAATAAACTGTAGCTCTCAGAGAGTCGTATTTAAAGATTTTAAATCTTACAGTCGATAGATATTACGGGACGTTATGTGTATTACAAAAATCCGGAGAGTTATCGAATTATAAATAGGTCAGGGCGCGATCAAAGTAGGTCGTCGTGCACAACTTAAGAGGACGTCATCCCCGCATGTGTTGTCTCAGTCTTACACGTCATTTAAAAATGTTTTGTTCAAAAACACCATAACTTACCTACTTAAAATTAATAATATTAATAAAAGCTAACGAGGGGTTCTAAATAATAATCTTACCTTTAAATTGTATAATGGATCAATTCACTTTAATATCAAAACTAACGTACACTATTGAAACTGGTGAACAAAATTGTGTTATGCTGTATACGTCATGACGTGAGTAAGACGAGTAATGCGGGTGCGACGTCCTCTTAAAAAGCATTATTCGAAACCAACGTTATGTTTATATAACATACTAAGAAGTTCATAACTAGAAAATATTGCAAGTTGTCTTCAATCAAACGAACGTGTGATAGTTGTGTTAATTATTCAAGACGAGGCGAGAAAAAACCGTCAACAGCGCGTCGTAGAGAGAAAATATAAAATAGTGACAGTAATTTACAACGTGGCGTTGAAAAAAATAAAAGGTTGCGGGCTCTAAATTTAAACAACGGTACCACAGCGTTTAATATAGAGCGGCACTTGACTGAGCTATAACGGATTACTTATACCGCGCGAGCTTCGACGGACGTGCGCCAATTATAATATCTGTATAATAATTCACGTTCCGGTCAGGATTCGGACGTTTCCGAGGAGCCCAATTAGGGAGGGGGCAGAGAAGCTTGAATTCAAAAACAGCTATATTCGCGGAAAGATGCCCCCGACCTAAAACTATTTTGATCCCGTTTTTTTGTCGATTGCATGATAAAAATATACAAAGTCAAAAACATAATATAATATACTCGCTCGTTTTTAATCGCTACTTATCGTTTAATTATCAATTTAAGATAGGGACTACTGAATGTAATCTGAAACGCGATTCGTGTTTTTTGTCATTATGTTTTCTTTTTTTTTTTACACGCATATCGGACGACAATTTTTGATTCTAACGTGTGTATGGTGGAGGAGTGGGTAACGCAATAATCTCAAGCAATCAAAAACACATTAGACAATCGTGATAATCGTAAACATAAAGTAATATTATTATATATRCGTTATAACTTATAAGTGTTATAACTTATAATAAACGATCGGCTATAGTGAGTCATGGAGAAATAAATGTCAATATACATAAACGCGCGCTATTATTGTTATTAAAAAAAAAAGTATATTATATTTTTAATAGCGATTAAAATTTAAAACTGTACGATAATATATTATTATTATTGAGTGTATGATTATATTAAACAGGAGTGTCAATAATGATTAACGTTCATACATATACGAAGTGCGATAAACCGAGTTAAGTGGTTCCAGTCTTCGGTGTAACCAATGCATAATTCGAGCGGTTTATCACGACATATTCCAAAATATATTTCCTATATATATATTAAATACAGACCAAAAGTGTACAGATGATAAATATTATACTTTAGGGTATTTATTACGAACATAAACATTTTTATATGTATACACTTGTAGGGTTTTCGAGGATATCATCTGTTTATCGTTCGATGTAAGTATATTATGCACAAAATACGAATGTCTTTAGTATGAGATTTTTTTTCTTTATTTTATCGAGATTTTAATTCGAAGTAATAAATGTTATATTCTCATACGTATAGTAGAATGTATGAATATCCGTCCAATAGTCAGATTTCATACACACACACACACACACACACACACACATATATATATATATATATATAGTACAAGGTCACAGCAAACACACGTTTCAGATCAATAGTCGAGTTGCCAATTTATTACGGAAAATTACTGTAAGTAATAAATAGGTGGTGCATCGTTTTAACAGTATTTATATGGACATGTATGGTGCTATACGCATTTGTTATATAAAACATAAATTGTACATTTTGTATTTTTTACAAATCTATGAATAAGACAAATAATGTTTTTAAAAAATGACTGTAAAATAAAATTTATTACTGTTTTCTACACAACAATATTATTTAGAATTTTAATTTTAAGTGCTTAACACTGCACTACATTGTATACCTACTATAGTGGAAACTCTTGATGTTTTAATCTTATATTTTGAACATGCAACACGCGAAACTATTACGTTCAAAACAATAAATTTAAAAAAAACTAACGTAATATGATATACATTTTTTTTTTAATAATCGCTGAAAAGTTAATTGAAAATACAATGTTGAACACTAAATAACTACAAACAAAATCGGCAGTGAAATATAATATTATAATTTTTAAAAACCAAATAACTGGGAACATAAATTAATTGCTAAACATTTTAAAAATGAATAAAAAAAAAAAAGACTAGTTACTATAATCTCCCCGAATTGGCCATGAGACACAAGTATAGAATTTTATGAGTTATAACATAAGTAATCAAATTAACTTTATGATTCGTCTGCAATGACGATTAAATAATAACAGTCATTAGTAATATATTACAATAGATAATGATTATCGGAATGTCGAACGTGATGCATTATTGATATTTGATATCAGCTATACTATTATATATTATAATTTATACGAACAGCAATAAACTAAAATGGAGCAAAAACTTTCAAAATGCACATAGATATACGCATACAAAGCGTTTACTTTTATATATATATGTATCAAACGTAGCTCTACACTGCAGCGCACACATTACACACAACGACTAAAACAATATTGTATTGTTATAACATTCAATTTTTAATGATAAATGTAGGTATGTGTCTAATAGCAGAATACGGAATCGATTCTACACGACCGAAATAATGATATAACTATATAAGAATCTATTCGTGTTCAGGAAAAAAATCGATATGAAAATTATCTCAATACATAACGTACAGTGTACGAACATCAGTGTATCACGGAGTATTACACTGAAAATTGACTTATTATTCAAATGTCATTTCTATGTAAAACTGTCAGATGTTCTAGATACATGCCCTGAAGAGTAGTTGTTCTAATGAGAAAACAGTGTCCTATATTTAATAAATGTGTAATATTTTAACGCATTTTACCGATAAACTCGTACGTAACCAGGATAAAATAAATTGTAGTAGGTTTTACAAAACCAAATACCAATATTTAATGTAATATTAAAATAGAGCTAAGCCCTCCTGAAACGGTAAATATATACATATTAGTTAGGTGCTTTTATATAATACGTAACGTATCGTTATATTAGGCCGAATATAATATGTCGGGACACGGGAAGTCAAAATCATGTATAATGTACGTCACATATTATATAAAATGGTGCGGTATAGGTAGTTATATGTATTTATTTATACAATATGCGCTAAGTAAGAGACATATGGATACAATCAGTGCACGGTGCACGGGTCAATAGTAATAACAAAGTTAGTGAAATACGCARTGCGTATTTTTGGATCCCGTAAATCATCTAGATTCTATTCAAATAAATTCGAGAAGAATTAAGACAATTTCTATTCAAATAACAATACATAATAACCACAATAAAACATTTATTTAAATTCAACTCTATATTGRTTTTCTAACCAAAATAAAATATTATATAATTTAACAATAACCATATTATTTATGAACTAGTCTTATAGGTATACTTATAAAAGGCTATAAGGGTTTATAACAACAATAACTGTTAAACGTAATTGCTCCAGTAAGTAGGTTTTATAATAATTGTTTTGTTCTAATCAATATCTTTAAATGTTGGTTTTTTTTTTAAATACTATTAGGTATGTGGATCAATGTTCATATTAAGGTAGTTAATCAAATTTGTCCCTACATTCAGATATACCTGCTTAGTCGGTGATACATATTACACGAGATGATGAAAATGAACAGGTGTCGTTTGATTARAATGGGATCATGAAATTAACTTCAACAATCTTGCCAGAGATATATTAACAGAATACGGTTTGTACTTTGTACGTGTAACAAAAATTGATTGACTATAATAGTAGGATATGATATAACATCATATATATATCAAATATAAATGTATAGGTCATATATACCTAATAAATAAAGATATATATATATATATATATATATGTTTATAGGTATATATGATATGGGTAATAAAGGTTTTCGTTATAGTCGACAAAATATATTAGCCACGCGAAAAGAGAACAATGCAGACAGAATATTATACTTCACGTTCCATTTCAAAATCGGCCTAGTGAAAATATGTTCGAATAATTGGTCTYCTCTTAGATTTAGAAATACTTGCACGCCAGGATCAAAAACCACAAGGGACATCTCTACAACAATTAATTAGGCATATTATGAATGACGTCGAAGACGGGTTGCTGATATTTCAGAATATAAATAGTATTATCGTAATGTAAAGATGATACTAAAGCATGATACATACGTAAATGAGAAAAAACGAAAAATATAATAGTTTTCTTCACCAAAACGACTTTTGGCATAAACAACAAAAACGTATTTATCCACGATAACCATAATATAATAATTTCGTCTTGTGATTAGACTGTATATTACACGCCATCTCGTTGTTTTCACGTCGAATTGTATTATTGCTTATACATTTATACCACGTCGTCCAAGGTTGTGTTTAAGTCCCGCGAGCGCGTGATTCGGTCCAAGAGACGAAAAACGAATTTTCTCTTCGACAGAACAGTCGTCATAATATCGTGTAAATAGCTATGGTTATTATACCTTACTACTCTAAACCATAACTCGCACAAACAAAAAAATACACACACACGCGAGTAATAATAGTAAAATCACGATATGTAACGGTCGGTGATCATCGGCTCAAGGCTAAACGGGAAAACGGCATCACGAGCGAGCCGAGCCAAAAACAAAAACAAAAAAATACGCATGAGAAACGCGACGAAAATTCTACGCTGGTGAGCCGCGTGATCTGCACGCAAAGATTTACAACCGCA